AAAGTCTGGATAACAAGAAGGATATCTGGGGGTACGCACAGATGGGTGAAATATGGGTAGTTGTCATCTTTAAGAGCTTGTTACACATAGATGCTCTTTAGTTCATGCTCTGAATGCTGTGAGGGAAGACAAGTGCTCTAGTGACTTTGGTGTCCTAGTTTGTATTTATTAAAATTTGGGTGCACTTGGATCTTGCATTCCTTTTCATTAGTCAGTTCAACCTCGGAAATATGAAGAAAATACCTACCATTATTATCTTTAGTCTCAAAGAATCTGGTAGCTGAGGTAGACTGGTTTCATTTATTTGGTTTTTAGCTTCCAATAGTAATTTCTGTTTGCATGAAATACTGGCTTACGTGAAAAGTTGCTTTTTAATACAATTTTTCAAAATCTTTAGTTATTTTTGTTTGAATTGGGTGTGAAGGTTGATACGATTTGCATGTAGGTCAGACATACTGTTCTGTCTCTTTAGATTGAAACTGAACATAAAAGCCTTAACTTGAAATAAAAACTTTGAAGTAACTTTGCTTACAGTAAAGATACAACTGTATAACAGAATAGAATAATCTTCTGTGAAGATCTTATTTGTGTCACTATTGTGAAGTTGCAGACTGTATATTTAAACTACAGGTTACAGGAGCAATGTGAATCTGATTATGTAAGTGCAGTCAGGAAAACAAATGTCTCTGAGACTCAGTTCATGTTTCTGTTTCCAAATACAGATCCTGGAAGACCTAGATGAGCAGATGTATATCATCACTTTAGAGGAAGAAGCAATTCAGAGGAAGCTTAATGGTATGTAGGCTATACCTGTAATGGTACTGCTTCAGATGCAATATTTAGGGTAGAGTGGTTCTGGTCAGGAGTATTGGTCTCACTGTTGTGTAGCCTCTTCTTTCAAACCAGAAAATTTCAACATCTTAGCCTGTAACAAATGCTACAGGTGTACATTTCCTCACTGGGTTTTCCAAGATTGGCTCTTGTGTATGTGGGGTTTGCTTTGGTTTTGTTTTTGAATTGTGTGTCAGCTCTCTAATGGGGGAATGTTCTGAGCCTGAGAGTGCAATTGAGTGGTTGTCCAGACCCACCACCCTTACTGCAAAATAGCTTGGATTGGTAAATGACTCTATTTCAGCCTTGTTTGAAGGACAGTGAACTTAATTAGCAAGAAGCTTGACTTCCTGCAATATGAGTTTTGTTTTTAATTTGGATGATATTTTGTGTTTCAGTTGATTATTTAAAATCTTAGGTAGTAATCATTAAAAATCAGAGCACTCCTTTATATTCTAGGAGTTATTTGGTGAATTTAATAATTAAAAACATTCTATAAGTAATGGAAATTGGTAATTATAAAAATGTTTTGTAAGACTTACTGTATTTAGTCTTACAATTTTGCATTTCTTGATAAGGTGTTTCTGTTATAAAGTATTTAATGAACAATATGAAGCTTTGGCTTAGAATAGAAAGGAGTGTTGCAACATGGCAGGCACCAACTATGGAAAATGTATTGGTTCTATAAACCTGGAAATCATGTTATATGAATCTTATGATGTGCTTTTAGCTCCATGGATAAGCCATCCATCTGTAATTTATACAATTACTGCAGTTTCTAAAGCCAAGGAATTTTCATGTAAGACAGCACAACAATGTGTCATGATGATTTATCTTAGCCTTATTTTTTAAATTTCCTGTTTTTTCTCTCGTGATTTTCAGTCTTCTGTCATATATCTCAATCTCTCCTTCCTTGAGGTCTCATTAAGTATCCTTTCAAAGTTGCTTTGTCAGGGGAAGTATGTTTGATTGCAGAGATCATGGTGGTCGTCTTACTGGAGGAGTAGGGACTTCTTTGTGCTGAAATCAGCCATCACTGCAGTTTAAAAGTAACATTTACCTTTTCAGGTGTTTATAGTGACACATGCATGTATGTGCATTCACACACAGGCACACAAAAAGGTGCATGCAGTGGGTGTCTTTGAAGCTGTGATGGGGTAATGATAATCATTCTGTCTGTTTGATGTTATCTGGGAACTGTAAAATATTTGATACTGAATATTTTATGTTGTCATGGTGATTCTGCTTGTGTACAACACAGAGCAATGACCCTATAGTTATTCAAGAATCTACTGGAAGTAGTGCAGAGAGGGGTTTGCTATTCACAGGGGGAATGGGATTATTTAGGTGATGCTTGGCTGCTCTTTTTCTTGCAGAAGTCTCTCAACAGTTGCTTATGTTGCAGTTTAATTACACTTATGGAGTGGACCTAGGCTGTCTGTAGGTGGCTACAGTACAGTGCCTGTCCAGTACAAACCTGGATATGGATTTAGGATGTGTGCTGGGAGCTCCCCTAACACCAGCCAAGCAACTGGATTTGCTTTCAGCACATGGCTTGGTATTCAGTGAAGAGTGGAACTGCAGCCCACCCATATTCCATGGAGCACTCACCAGCCTGCTCTTGAGCAGTGAAAGACGGGCTTAAATGTCCTGAGACAGGAGAGAGACTGAATTCCCTCTGTTTCCAATGCTGAGGGAATGACATTGACACCCCCATCTAAAGGAATGCTTGAAAACCCCTAGGTTAGTGGATAGAGAAAATTAATGGACTTAAGCTGAAAAGTAAATGAAAATCTAAACTTGCACATAGCATGCAGTTGGGGAAAGATGTTATATATGCAAGAAGATACTCTACAGGATTTTGTGAGTAGATACTTTAGTCAATTTAAGCATGGTTCTCATTATGGCAAGCATGGAAACATTCATCTTCTCTTCCAGAAGTCTTTCTAATACATACAAATTATACGGGAAACATTGACATTGTTAAATCCAGAACTATGAAGGGTCATGTTTACCATGTTTATTGCATTTGAAAAAAGTGTATATAAATGGGGGTGGTGCTAATTACATCAGTTAAATGTTGGGCTGTAATGTTAGAGGCCATAATCTGTGTTTTAGCACACAGATTGTGTCTGTTGCTGTATCATGGCAGATATATTCAGCTACACACTTCCTCTGCCGTGGCTTTTACAACTCTTCCACAGTGTTGGTGGTAGAAATCCCTGGTGCATAAGTAACCCTGCTGGGCAGGTTTGCAGTAAAGTGCTGTGAAATACATACTTTATTTATATGTGTATCTAAAGAGTCAAATTTTTATTAAAATGAAGAGGACCAGAGCAGAGGCTTAAGTGATACTTGATGACTGTAAAGCTTTTCATATTTGAAAATAAATCTATCTGTGAAACTGTAGATCTTCTTTGTGGGAACTAATTTTCTTCCTCCTCAGGTGTCTGCAGTGTCTAACTGAAAATTGGAGGAGGAGGGAGGGGAAAGTTTGATTGTGTTATCTACCCTAGTATTTTTATCTATTGAAGAGATACTGGGCTTTGGGAAAATGTTTGTTTCCAGTGTATTATATTTCAGTACCCACATCACTCCTACAGTTGAAGAATAAAGCTGGGACTTTTTTATATTAAAAGAAAAAAGTTGCCTTCAGCTATTAGTTTTCCTGGATCCAAAGAGACGGGTGGGGTAGGATCAAAAATACTTACTTGATCAAAGTTATTGGCTCTGAAGGTATCCTTACCTATGTAAGAAAGATGAAAGGTGTTGTTTTTATTGCACACTAGTAACAGTGTAATTTTGAACTAATTGGTGGTGAACTGCCAATCACCTTGGGGGAATGCAAATAGATACTCTTACAATTTCCTTTGAGGTACTGAAATCTTATGTCGGGGCTGGAAGAAAAACAGAATAATACCGTTAAATTGACCTTAAATGAGCTGCTTTGTGGCTTTCTTGGAGAATCCCTTCTAACTTTTCATTGCTAGTCCAAACAAGTCTCGTCTACCAATTTGATTTATTGGCTAGACAGCGCTGACATTGAACTTTGTGCGTGTTTGAAATAAAGCTAATGTTAGAGAGCTTTTAAGAATTTAGCTGCATCCTTTTCAAATACTCTTTTGACTGATCTGAAACTTTGCCTCTCTCGTAAAATATCCTTTTGTGTAGCAACCTGTTGTTTGCAACTATTTTTAAGGAGGAACTATAACTGCACTTAGATATGATTCAGAATTTCTACTGACCTGTATCTAAGGGACCTACTGTGATGACTGATTTGTTGGATAGACTCCCATGAAATCAGTGTGGATTTTTATATTGAGGGAAATAAAAAACATATATATGTATATATCTTGAACTGAGCTTTTCCTCAGAGACTCCTGAATCACTTACAGAGAAGAAGACGACCTCAGATGCTGACTTGAGTTTTCCTTCTTGTTCAACTGCTTCCATGAAAGTGTTTTTCCCACTGAGCTCTATAGCTGTCCATTTTTCCACGTAACAGTAATTAGTCATTCCATAAAACAGATGTTTTAGACTTTTTTGGGGGAAATGCATCATCACAAAAGCTTATTTTGTAGTGGTAATTAGCCTGTGTTTTTTTAAAGACTTTTTCTAAAAACCTGTGTATTATGATTAATTTTCCAAAAACACACTGAGGAAATGAAACTGACATTTGTATTTCAGGCACTTCAAGTGATAAGATGTTGTAATGTAACAACGTGTATAGATCTTACTGGATAGTCCTGAGATTAGAGATATTTATATATTTGAAGCCCTGCAAATATTCCCCCATATTCATTATGTCATTGATATCCAAGATAAATGTTTAGACATAGCACAGAAGTTACGTGTTATATGCAAAAATGTGTGCAAAGGAAATATTCAGTTAATTCAATTAAACATTTAAAATTTTAAATGAATGTTTCATTGATGATTTGACTGCATTGAACAAATCAGTATTTAATAGTCTGCAATAAAAATAGTCACCTTTTTCTTGTACTGAGGTTGCTGAATGGATGAGAAGACAACAGAAAATAAGGAAATAATGAGACTGGACTACAAAGTAGTGTTACTGTGCCAGCAGCCTAAGTGCTATTTAGATTTTGTAGGCAAGTAGTCAAGATCTGAGATAAAAGCCTGGACAAGCATATTAATATCATAGAAATTTATTAGAGACTGTTTAAAAAAAGTACATGGAGCATGGTGCTCTTACAGGTTAGCTGAGGGTAAGGAATGGCCACCAGGTGAAGGGTGTGAATGTAAATCAGCAAAAGAACAACAGAGAGGACTTTGGGTTTTAGACCTTAAACTGACCTGAACTGTCACTGCCATGGTGTGTTATTGCAGAGTGAAATTGGCCTAGAATAGACTGGGAAAATATGAGCCCTTAACTTTCAGGTGAGATTGCCCCACTTTGATCCCTTGGGTGGAGGGTGTTTCTAACTTATCCCAAGCAGAATATTTCCAGGTTGTGATTGCAGAGAGTGAAAGCTGAAGCAGAAATAATGGGATGGGAACTGAAACAGCAGGTCTCTAGTCAGCATTGCAGAGCTGTGTCAGTGCCTGAACACTGTGCAGGGTTTGTAGAGGAATTGGCATCAAGGAGGGAAACCCCAGTGTGTTTGCACTGGGAAAGAGGAGTGGTTGGAAGAAAATGGAAGGTTGAAGAGAAAAAGGATGGAGAGAGAGAAAGTGGTTTGGGTTTCCTCAAGGCTGCTTTGGGACAGGAAGAAAAGTTGAAGAGCAACTTTCAGGCAGAAAATTAGTAGGAAGAAAGGAATTAAAATGATGGTTGTCAGGGCTAAGCTGATGTACAGGAGAAAGTATGAGGAGTCACACAACAGTGATGTGTATGTTGGAAGCTGGAAAGTGGAAGAGGTTGGTCTCATGGGTGGTTGTGGAAATACCTGTTTGTGGCATGGAGACACAGAGCAGGCAAACTGGTATGAGCAGAAGATCCATCAGCAAGCAGGTCAGCAGTATGGAAACAGCTTTCTGAGGAAAGGGAGGGAGGGGCAGAAGCTGAATCTGGAACTCTGGCCACTTTAAAAGTAAAGACCTACTTTTGCTAAATAATAATGCTCCCGAAGGGCATTGGGGGGTTCTTTACATCTTGGTGCAAGAATCATATAAGGATTTAAGAATGAGGCATTTGAGACATCTTGTCTGTCACACTATGACTGGGTAATTGGACTTGTGTGAAAGTTCAGCATGAGCAGAACAGGCTGGGATCAGAGATGATGCTGAAACCTCTGTGCTGAACTCTTCTGGGTGGACTGCTGTTTCTGGAAAGTATTTGAAGAATCTCAAAGAAACACCTCCAGTTTCAAGTCACAAATGCTAATGCGATGCTTCCGAAATCCAAACTGTCACTGTGTGCCTTGCAGTCACATCTAAAAGAAAATCATGTCTTTTGTTTTAAAAGGTGTATCTTCCACAGTGGAATACCAGACGGTAGAGTTGGAACGTGAGCTTGAAAAAGTGAAAAGCAAGAAAACAAATCTAGGTAATGAACTTTTTAGTGTTTCATGTAGACTGTAGTTTACTAAATGACCTTAAGGTGCTGTGTTCAGTTTGGAGTAGTTGATTGATTCCAGTTTGTTCTTAACCAAATTTGTGCATTTGCAAATACATTACATGAAATCATTGCACCCCTCCAACAAAATAAATTAACTAAGGAGTCTGATTTGGATCTTATTTTTAACATTATTTTAGAGAAATTACAACACTTCTTTTCATGGAGCTTTTAATGTATAATATGCTTATGAATGTTTGGGCTGATCTAGGACATTCCTTTTTGTGTTTGAATTATTTCTGTAAAATTCAAGTGTTTTCTTTTCTTGCACATGCTAATTTTCAGTGAAGTTAGTTTTGTCTTTCCTACCTTGCAAAAGGAAAATACTGTTTAAATATCTGAAATTCTGTTCTGTCCCTTTAGGTCATGCTAAAATATACATGTAAGCTGTGTATTTGTAAATTCAGCAGATTTTAAACTTTGTGGAACTGCTGTTTGCTAAGGGAAGAAAAGGTTATGGGGAAGCATACCTCTAAGGAAAATCTGCCTGTCTCTGTCTCCCCAGCCTTTCTCTAGAGAGGCTTCATATTTTTGCTATTGTTTTGTATAGTTGTACAGGGTGGATGTTCTTATGAACTGGCTGATGTTTGTTCCAGATCAGGATCCTGTTGTTACTTACATTTATAGTGAGCTTACAGATAGCGGAATGATTCATACAATGGTTCTTACTTGTTTTGTTTTATTCTAAGGTGATCTATGGTATTAGGCTTAATGTTTTTTCTTTTTTGAACAGAACGGAGGAAAAAAGCTTCTGCTTGGGAAAGGAATTTAGTTTATCCAGCTGTCATGATATTGCTCCTGATTTGGACAGTAAGAATTTTCATTTTTTCCCCCAGCAAAAAGTATGAAGAGTTCTTTGGTTATTTGAGGGAGTAGTATTAAATTTTTTGTGATGAGTGTTTAAACAGCAATCTTGATAATCTTTTCTTGACCATTTATAAGAAACTTGACATAATGGAGTCTGATGAGGATAAATGTGTAGATTTTAAAAATGTGGAATACTTGTCAATAACATGACTTTCTACTTTTTTTATAGTCCTTTTCAGTTCTTTTAGTTGCTCTCAACATTCTTTACCTGTTGGTTGATGAGACTGCAATGCCAAAGGGATCAGGGGTAAAGTAATCTTCTCTTACAATTTTTATAATTGTAATAAAGCTTTGGAAGCCTTGCAGAAGTGCAAGAGCTTTTGCTTTAATAACATGGAAACTAATGTGCCTTGACCTTGACTTGGCTGCTAGGTTTCATTCTTGTGCCCACACAAACATTTATTATATGTCATGTTGTAGTGAGTTCCTACTAAAATAGTGCAGAAGCTTCATGTAGATAGAATGATGCAATGAAGCAGATCAGTAATCTGGAGTTTGCAGATGTGTCTTTGCCATGCATTTCACTGCAGTTTGAAAGCTGCTGGTGCCATTGCATGGGGTGGGGGGACTTGGAGGGTGGGACATCAGAATGCCCCTGAAACACTGAATTGAGAAAAGGCTGTATTTCATGGAACCTGTTACATGAAATACCTGTTACAAGTTTTGTTATGGGTAGAAGTTGACTATTTGAACTGTTGCATGTATCTTATTTAGTTATGCAAAGTATTTTTTTCCTTCTAGGGACCTGGAATAGGAAATGCCTCCTTATCCACCTTTGGCTTTGTGGGAGCAGCACTTGAAATCATTTTGATTTTGTATCCTTTCTGAAAGAATTCTGTCTGTTAACAGGTATTCTGTCTACTTTTCTGGGACACTGGTAATACAACAAGGCACTAACCTGGAAGGAAGAAAGATAGTCCTTCTCAAACACTTGAAGTGGATTTGCTTCCTTTTCTTTAGTTCTTAAGACTTTTAGACTGGTGAGAACTTGAGTGAAACTTGCATTCCTTGGAGGTTCCTTTTTTCCTTGATTCTCACAGCTATCTTATGGTATCTTCTGTCGTTGGCTTCTACAGTCTTCGTTTTTTTGAGAATTTCACTCCCAGGAAGGATGATACAACTATGACAAAGGTAAGGTACAGTCTGGGATGGGGATGGCCCCTCCTGTCTTTCTTGCCACCCAAGACAAGCTGACTCTCTTATTTAATTGCCCTGAATGGCTCATTTGCAGTGATCAGTATTTGTTTGTAAGCTGTGTAAACACAAACTGGAAGATTGTCAAAATGCTGAATGAGTGGGAAAAAGGATGTGCTCTGTTTAGTTTGGATGGCATCCATTCACTTGTAAAAAGCCAGGAATGGCAGAGCTTGTTAACTGGCTATAGAAAAGCAAGTGAAAGAACTTCCTTCAAAGGGAACTTACTGCTAATGAGTAACTTTGATTGTGTTAACTGTACTTCAGGGAGCTTGTTTGAGATCTGAACAGTGTGGTTGCTAGAAGTAATAAGACAAAGTGATTCAAATTTGAATAATGAAACTAAGACTGAGGATGGCTATTCAGCAACATTTTGCAATCTGAAGCTAATTTGACTTTCTACAATTTAGCACTGGCTTTAGAATAACCAATGCTGTTACCTAATTTGGAGGAACATGCCTAGATTTTTGGCAAAATATTCCCACAGCTGACATGGGGAAGTGATCAGTAACCAAGGAACGGATGTTGAATTTAATTATTTTTTCAGTATGTTTCATTGTTTCTAATTTTTTTTCTTGAAGTAATGGATTATGATACTTTTACTACAAATTGTTGGAAGTGAGAAAGTGGGTATGCATGCAGAATGATTAAAGTAATAAATAGTAGAGAATTGGAATGTTCTTAATATTTCCTGTTGATTGTTTACACCAGGAATAATGTGGAAATAAATACTTAATGTACAAATGTCTACCAACTTTCAAGTTTGTTTTTTTTTTTTCCTTTTGGCTTCTGATAGAACCAGACCTGAAGAAAATGATCCCTTGTGAAAGAAAGTTTCAATTACTCTTTTTAAAGGTTTTACAAGAACAAGAGTAAAATCTAACAGCTGTGAATTTTTTTGGTATTATTTAAAGTAGACAACAGGCATTGCATTGAAAGGAAGCTCTTTGTTGTAATTTTTTAAATAGTGCTAATCCTGCAAGCAGTTACATCCAAGGCTTAAGCTGATGTATCAGTCATCCATTCTAAGCCCATGGAATTGTTCTTTTATAAAACATTCACAGGAAGTAAGTAAACAGTTGATACTTTGCAACATGGTTCTTTTGAATAATTTTGAGTCTGAGCATACATAACACTTTGATTAAAAGCACATGAATACATATTTGATTTTTTTCTTGGATCATCTTCATCTTGTTTGACACCATGTGGAGTGGAGTGACAGAAGTCAGCAAGACTAACAATATGTTACTGTAAATTGCTTTAGGTTCAATTTGAAGAATGTGCCTTTTAAGAATTCTTTTTCATCTTGACCACTGTTTTTCTTTGTGTTCCCTTCAGAAATCCCATTTATCATTTAAATGCTGTTTGTCATTTTCATACAGATAATTGGAAACTGTGTCTCAATCTTGGTGCTGAGCTCTGCTTTGCCAGTGATGTCAAGGACACTGGGTAAGTGAAATGGAAGTAACATCATTCTGAAAGATGTTTACTTGAATTAAAAAATGCAAGAAAAAAAAAAGAGCCTGTAGCTGTATTTCCCATAATATGTATGTAACTTGCCATCACTTTCAGTGGAAAAAGCATGTATCTTTGGCCTTCATTTCTACATGAACATGAACTGTAGAACAAAATACATTTGAGATTTGGTTTCTGAAATTTGAGGTAACACTGAGTGCAAATGCTTTTTAAAAACAGTTAATGATTCCTCATTAAATAAGTTTAATCAGCCGTGATATCAGGCTCCTTTTGCTTTCCTTACAGTAGCATCCTTGTATTTTTTGTTAACTTAATTTTTAAAATTTAACAATTTGGAGTCTACAATAGCAGAACTGAAGAGCTGATTTTATTGCTAAGGATTGGCAGTAGCATTTGAAGTAGTTAAGCTGTTTTAACCAGTTGGAAAGACGTGTTGTATCTTCACTTTAATTAGGTAATCTTCAGCTTGAATTCTTGAAGTTAAATTGCAAGGCTATTACATGTTTTAAGTCATGCAGAATCCTTGTAGCTAATGTGAATTTCATTGGGAACATTAAATAGAACAAAACAAGAATCTTCACCTCAGGCTGTACAAGTCTCAAGTACAAGCTTAGAAGTTTGAGCTCATGCCCACAGATCAGCAGTGTGTGCTCAGTAGTTCTGTAGTTGGTTTTTCCTTTCAGGGAGAATACTCTTGAGTCAAGAGTAGTTCATAATTTTCCAGTAAATTATATTGTATATTCTGATACTACATATATCTACAGATGAAGTATTTTAATAAACTATAAATTATTTCTATAGCAAATGAAAAACCCTCTGTAATGCATTTTGGAGCATTGAATCTTAATAGGTGTTCTTGAACTTACTTTAAAAAAGTCTGTAGTAAAACTCCACAAAAATGCAGAAGAGTAATTCAAGTACTTAAAGCAGTGCAGGTTTAAAGTATAACCAGTATGATAAAGGCCTAAGAAGTGAAATAGTTCTTGCATGCGGAGCCAGATGTTACATAGAAAAATCACTGTTTTGGAATAGAATTGTAACATAAGTTTGTGTCCACTAAGTTACTGCATTCAAGACTTGTTTAAAAGAAAATAAAATTAATTGTTAATGATCCATGAGATTACCAGTTGATAATAACCAGATTCTGTGGCAGTAAGTACACGCTGGGTCCATTGTTGTCTCATAGGAAACAGATTAATGGTAAAACTCACTTAAAAACCTGACTAACAAGTGAAATTCCTGAATAGTTTGCCATAGAGATAAATAAAAGAAGAAAAAAGATGGAACAATTAACACACAGCTAACAAATGCACAGTCACAGCTGTCCAAACAGGATTAATAGAGTGTATTAGAGTACAGTGAGTCATGTGGTGCTTTGCAGAAATATCAATGTGTGTTGCACTACATGGCACTGCCCTGTGGCACTGAATAGATGAAAAGAAATAAATATGTTAAGCAGATTCATAGTCTTTTCACTTTATTAAAAAAGCAAGATTCTAGACTATACAGAAAAGACTAGACTTTATCCTTATGGGAAAGGTGAAAAAGCAAAAGTTATCTAATACATGTGCTGACCTTCTTCAGCTTTTAAAAATGGAAATAGTTTCTTACGTGTTTCATAGCATTCTAATTAGATATATAGGTGGTGAATATGTCTAATCTGTCATTCTTCTGGAACTCCAGGAAAGTTTTAAACTAAGTTATTTTGCTTAAATAAGTTAACTCATATTTTCCCAGAACTTTTCAGCCTTTTAGTAGCCCTGCTGAAATGTTTCCTACCAGCACCATTCTGCTAATCACAGAGAAACAATTGAGAGCAAGGCACTTAATAGTCAAGAATACAAAACCAAAGAATTCCAGAGAAAATTGAACTCTAGCATATGGAAATTTTCCTAGAATTCTACACTTGAGTATTACATGCAAGCAAATGGGGATTTAAATTTTATTTGTGTGTGCTGTCTAAAGCCAACTACTTACTTTTAACCTGAGGAATTTTTAACTGTTTATTTGATAAAATTTCATCAACTTTTGTGTGTATGTACATGTGCCATTAGATATGCAAGTTTTTGTTCAGTTACTGAAGAGTTACTAAAAATCTTGTTTTTTTCTCTGTGGGCTGAGTAGAGGCTACTTCTGTAAGAAAGTAATCAAAACCTTTTTAACCTTTTCCTCCCATGAGTTTACAGACTGTTCCTATGTCACTTTTCTGAAGAGCAGTGACTTTTTCTGTTTGTAAGAAGAAATTGTATGTAATTTATGGACAATAATTTCCCTACCTACTCTAACAGAAGTGTCAGAGTTCATTTGTTTGTCCTTGCAACACTGCTCCATGGCTCACTGTTCTTCTGGACCACTATGTATCAACAAATGTTTCTCCTTTTCCAGAGAATTCCAGTGCTCTGCCTGTTTTGTTCCTTTTCCTTTAGTTTTGGAAGCCTGTGCATTCAAACCTGACTTTCTTAATTTTCATGTGGCTCCACAGTCTGACTAAAACACTGCTTGCTGCTTTGGGGATGTTAAGGACACTGTTTTCCTTCAAGTGGGAAAGCAGCTCTGTGTTTATTGTCCTTCATCTCTTTACCAGTTAATTCAGACAGATGGTTTCTTCTTTCTGTGCTGAGACCTTCTGTGCTTTTTTTAATATTTCTCCCTGCCTCTTTTGCTGTTTTCATCAGTGATTGTTTTGTTTCATCCTTTGAAACTACTTGTTTTAATTTCAGTATTTTTTCCTTCGACCAAATTCAATTCTCATGTTTTAATTTAAATGACTGATGCTGAGTATAACAAGTGTGTGTAGCTTTTAACAGTGTGATAGCTGGCTTGCAAGTCTTGGGTATACAGCTACAATGAGAGTGTTGGATTTACCCTTGGAAGAAGTACAACTGAACCTTAATTCTGTCTCTTCATTTATTATCACTTTTGAAGTCAGTTTTTAAAAGCCCCAAAACACTTTCAAAATAAGATGATAGAAAATCAGGAGCTTTCAGGAGTTTCAGAGCTGGGGTTGCTTTGTCATTGCCTCGTTTGCTGCTGCCATTTTAGTTCTGGGACAGGGTCAGCTTCCTGTTTCTGCACTACTGTGAGGGCACACTTCCTTTTGACATCATCTGTGCCAAAGGATTTTTGGGAATACAGCAGCTTTTGAATCCTAGACAATGGTCATGTGGCTGTCATCTCAATGTTCTGCCCTGTGTTCAGTGCAGTACTCCATGACACCTGACAAAGGAGCAACCTGTGCTTCTTCCTCTTCTGCCTTCTGCAATGGGCCCTACACCCTGTAGATGCTTCCATGTTTCAGAAAAATGTTGTTCAACTTAATTAGTGATTGACAGGCCTTTGATCAGCACAAAGCCCAAGTGTCAGGGCTGGAGGTGCCCTGTGAAGGAGACCTGTCAGCACCATCTTTCAGCCTCTTTTCCTTCTGGTGGTGGGTGTATCCAGGAGAAAAACTGCAGTCGGAAAGATGTCTTTAAACTTGGGTTTCAAAAGCAGTGCTCTGGAAGAACACTTAAAAGGTTTAGTGTTTACCATAAGATGTTGTGGCTCTCATAGAAAGGCTGTTTGCTCCCTATATCTTTTTTTTAAAAAAAAAAAAGAAAGCTCAAGGTGCATTTCATTTGTTTCTGGAATCACGAAGGATTTTATAGAAACTGAGGTTTCAAGTAGTTTTCATACTAAAGCTGGTTTTTCCTAGTCACATTTACTGAAATTATAAAGTTCTTACCTAGAATAGACAATTCATTTCAACTCCCATTATTCAACCATTTTACTATGAAATTTAAAAGAATATTTTGATGAAGGTATCTTACAGTTTTGTAGTGACCAACCAACATTGTCTTGTGTGTTTAGCCATGTGTCTTTTGGTGTGCTGTCTGTAAGAATTTTGCATCCAAATGTAAATGTAATAGAAGGAAATTTTTGCATTTCTTAAAAAAATTAGAAGTATTTATTTAAAAAAAAAATATTAAAATACTTTATTATATATGCTATGTATTTATGTATTATTATATTACATTTTTGAATATTTATAATAACAGGAATCACCAGATTCGATCTCCTTGGAGACTTTGGAAGGTTCAACTGGCTGGGGAACTTCTATATTGTGTTATCTTACAACTTGCTCTTTGCTATCATGACAACGTTGTGTCTGGTCAGAAAATTCACTTCTGCTGTGCGAGAAGAGCTCCTGAAGGCATTAGGTAACACAGCCCTGAAAGTTCACTGGGTGCTTGACCACTCCCTTTCTCCACCACTGACACCTTGATGTGCTACTGGTAATGTTCTGTCACAGCTCACAGAATACACTTTTTCTGTGGAAATTTCTCCAAGTTAAGGTGTGAGGATGAATAACATTGTGTTGTTTTTTGAAGAGTCCAGAGCTAGGGGTAAAGTGTTGATTTTAATGATACACCTGTGGTAATTATTGATCTCCAGTTGGATTTTCAGTCTTTTCTTCAGAAACATTCTCATTGCTATGAGCAGTTATTCCAAACTGAAACTTCAACTTGTGTATGGGTTGGCTTTTTCCTTTTTTGTTTAAAGCAGCTTGTTAGTTACCTAAAAATAGTTAGCAGAGATCTTAACTACTTTGTTGTCATACTTATTTTGGAACATCTATTCAGAAAATCTTTGTACAGAATATATAGAACCTTAGGAAGTGTCTGAGTAAAACCTGTACCTGATTTCATCAAAAATTTAATCAAATTTTGCATTGATATTTCTTGACCATAGAAGAAAGGATTGAAACACATTTGATACTAAGAGGAGAAATTTTTATTTTTGTATTGTTGTTGCCTTATTTTTACTAATTAACAAAGCTCCTCTCTCTTTAGATCCTTAGAGTAGTATTTGCTTAAATTGAAAGAATTAATGTTGAAACTTTAGTGTTTTTTGTAATTAAGGGTTTAGTTTGCATCATCTGGAAGTTACTCATGTTAGTTTTCATGTTAGTTAACTGCTTTCAGAATTGTGATGCTGAAACAAAATCCAAGCACTTGTCAGAGTGCTGGTAGAAGATTAGTTTAAAATTGTTGTAAAATAATTAAAGTGTTCAATAAAAAATTACAGATGTTGAAGGCAGATTAACAAACATAAAAATGCAGTCATAGTAAGGTAATGGTCACTGGATTTGATACAAGTAGAGACTCTCAAACCCTGAAATGTGCACTTTCCTGGCACAAATTTGGTTTTTCCATGCTGTACATCACAAATGGTGTCTTTTGTCCCATGGAATTCAAAGAATGAGAACCAAAATTGGCCTATGACCAAAAAATTCACGTATTAAGACTACAAATAAGACGATATTAAGGAGATTTTGGTTTTGTGGTAGTGCAGTCAGTTTTGGAATTTCAATTCCAACAGTGCAAGAGATTTAACTTCATACATCATGGCACTTCAGTAAAACATTCAATGTAGTCTACACAAAATGAATAAGAAACTCTTTCCAGGTTTTATTCATAGCTTTAGAGACTTGATAGGAGATTTCAGAGAGTAACTGTAGCAAGCAAGAAAGGACTGACATCATGCCTCTTTTGAATGAAATATGGCTAAGTTCACCACTTTTCTTCATCTTCCCCCCTCCCAAGGGAAAAAAAAAAGAAAAAGAGTAATTCAACTGCTTGCCTGGGACAGGATGTGAGACTTGAATTAGCACTCAGGGTAAAGAATTGTGCAATAAGAACAAATGGCTGGAAACAGAGCTAAATCAGTAATAGTGTAGTCCTAAAAAATGTAGTTAGACATATAAATAGTTTAGAGAAGTGATTTGGTCATTGCCAGTGACTTTAAGATCAGCAGTGGATGATTTACAAAAAGATATTATAGTTTAAAATAAATACTTTAGGTAATTATTTAGGTCTTTGTAGGTGACAAGGTAAACTATTGCAAATCTTTCTTGGTTCTTAATATCTGAGCCTGTGATTTAAAAAGCAGAAAGTTAGGATTCTCTGTATTCCATGCTTGCCCACTGTAATGGATTTTCTCACTTAAACAACACTGAGGGAATTTTCCAGAAGTAATCCTTACAGGGAGGTAGAACATCAGTTCTGGTCTTCAGCAAATGTGTAGTCCACAATCACAATGTAGAATTTGGATTGTCTGTGTTCTTTTGGATACCTGTGTGCCTGAAACAAGGGGGAGTCTTAGTTTTTCCTTATTCTGTAATGTTTTGCAGGATTAGATAAACTTCATCTGTCAAACAATCCAAGAGACTCGGAGACAAAGCCTTCTGCAAATGGCCATCAGAAAACACTGTGATAACAATCACCTACAATCAACAGAGCTGAGAACATCAACCTCATGGCATTCCTGTCATCTCATCAGCATTTTTATATTGCTTTTAGTTGTTAGTTTGGTTTGAGCCTTGTCTCATTTTGATGCTGTGTGCTTCTGAGGAAATTAGGTATGACAGATTCTTCTCTTTCCAGTGAACTTTTGGTCTGCTTGTTTATTTCCCAGTAAGTTAATGCAGGAGGTGCCTTGAAGACTGGAAGCTGAAGAGAAAAATGCATTCCTTTTTATTTGTTGAAAGTTTCACATCCTTATTTTTAAACTTGCTACCATTTGAATGCACAGTACCTCCTGTTTTACACAAACACAGCTATAAAGAATAACTTTGTGACTTGATTGAAAAAAAGAAAAGAAGAAAACATACACTTGAAGGCCAATATGACCCTTACTGGAAATGTAAAGTACCTGGAGTCATTCTCCGTGACAGGAGATAAACAGCTCTACTGAGAGTGAGTTAAAAAAGACAGGAAAGATCACAGTTCCCTCGGTGCTGGATGCAGTAGGCTGTGTCATGGAGCTTTCTTGGCAGGCCAGTGTTTTCAGCTCTCTGTCCTTGGCTCTAAATGCCAGCTTGCTTTATTGGTGATCAAACGATGTCTTATGGAAATCCAAGATGAACATTAACTTCAGTGTTAAATCTGAGCCTGGTATGCTTTGTCAAAAGCTGTGTAGACCCCCTGTCACAGCTCTCACAGTTCTGTGAGCAGTTGTGCCCAGGAGGTCCCTTCCCCTGCCCAGTACCCCCTGTGAAATTCTCCATGAACTTTTCCATCAAGTAAGAGCTTCACACTTCTTGATGTGTGTAAGCAGTACCTGGAATCAATGCAAGGAGCACAGGCCTAGGAGGCTGCAGTTGCAGTTTTCTACAATCTTTAATTCAAATTTAATTTCTCTGAATTTATACTTCAGTTACCAGGATTTCTGTTCAGTGGCATAATCCAGTTATCTGTCACTATCCTGTTTTTTAATGTACACATGAACATGTATATAGGCCCATATGTGTAGATATCATAAATTAAATTCTAAGGTTATAGAGGTGACAATAGGTGGTTTGGTAAGTAAAACTTGTGTGTTCAGTCTTGGTAGTTTGAATTTCTGCAGTGTTACAGTGTAACTGCTCAGAGGCCTTAGATTCAAGATGGCATCAGTGAGTGATAATGTCCTTTCTTGTAGCATTTCCTTGCAGCCTTAGGAATCCTTTAAGCAGTTTATAGTAAAGAAAAATACCAAGTAAGTATTCAAAATCTGGTTGCACTTTTGTCCTGCTCAGCCACAGGTAATCTTCAAACAGACTGGAATGGGGACACCTTCAATGAGTGCCCATCTCGTAGGGAGCCAGAAAATTTTCCTGTTCTTTTCCCGTTTGTGTAAAACAAAACTGCCTGTCTGTAGTTTGAGGTCTTAGTTGGTGACAACTTGGTTTCCAGTGTGGTTCCAAAGTAAGGTAAACCTTGTGTCAGAAACTCTTTGGCTTTTCTCCTGAGATGACTGCTCTGGGCTGTAGACCTTATTGCTGTGTGTGTGAATGTCTGCTCGGTTGTTTTCCCCTAAAGTGCTTCAAAAATCACGCTCCAGTACACATGAGGATTTCTCTTTATTGCAGCTGCCTTTTCTGACTTGAACTGGGGCATAATGTAAATATTTCTGTAGTAAACATGATTCTAGAGAATTACTTTTTTTGTTGTGTGTGTGTGATTAGTATAAATCCAAGGTTTAATGAACTGACTGTTGATGGGTTGTATCAAGTCTTGGAAGAAAAAGTAAAATTACTTGATTTCACTAAGATTTACAAGCATCTTTTCTTTGTTTAATGCTGACACTTTAGTGAGAAATCTTTAAGTTCTACAACCAATAACAGAGTGCTATAATTAAAAGTTGTTCTAAAATGAGTTTATATTTAAAATACTGGGAGATATATTATTAGGGGCATCAGTCAGGTATTCTCAGAGCTTGTAGCCTTATGTATTGGCATCATAGTTAAAAACTGGTGACATGTGTTCACTTTTTCATGCAACTCATTGTATGACCAAAATTGTTCTCATGTCTTAATTGTTCAGGTGACTCGTGGTGTGTGAGGCCAGTTAGCTTTATAGAAATATTTCTGTTAAAATGTTAAGACAGTTAATACACTCTGAAGAAATTAATATTAGGAATAAACCTAGGAGTATGAACCAGCATAGGTCTTGTTCTTTGTGCCTTTGGAGAGGTGTTTGTCATGGCATCAGTGACCCAAGAACACAGAAGAAGGTGGACTATAATGTGTGTGTGGCTTCTGCAAGTGAGTTGGGCAATTACTTCAACTGAGCAGGGGCAGTTCCTGTCGAGAAGCACCCAAGCTTCAGGCAAGACTTTAAAAACTCTTTTTCAAAACAAATGTTAGAGCCTCGACTATCCCCACCCCTTCTGCTGGATTCTGCAGGCAGATGTGTGGGTTAAGGCTACATTAGGGAAAACTTTACCCTGGACTCTTTGGGATGGTTGAGGTGCTGTGTGGTTTCCAAGATGGGTGAGAAATTCAGAACTACCCTATGTAACTACTGACAGTGTTTTGTTTTAAAATCAACTGCTGATATTGTGACACTGTCTACATTAAAATATGCCTTTTGCCTTGAAAATGACATGCTTATGCAAAGCTTTGTCACTGCATGCAAGATACAGGTCACTGTATACTTTTCACAGAAGCATATGGTCACTTAAGTACAAGCAACTGGTAATTCATTAATGGATATTGACAATACATTCCTAGTATTTTGACTCATGTAGAGTCAGGTGGTCTATACCTGCAAGGTATATACAGCTGATCTTAGTAACATTAACATCTGCCTCACTTCTTACGAGGCAAAAGCACATCAATGCTTCCATCTTCAACTAGATACCACACAAGACCAAAAAATAGATGTAAACTGAGTGTTTTAATTTAGCTGTTTTTTGGCTTTTTTTTCTGTGTTGGTAGCACAATATTAAATGCAATTGCAGAACTGTAATATTTGTGGGGTTTTTAAGCATAAAGCACACATGCTTATCACTTTAAGCTAAAAAATAATAGTATTGGTTTAATGTACAAGTTACAGTTTTGCATTCATAGGGAACTTTGTTTACTGTCTGTAATGTGCTGTTTATCCTTGGCCCTGTTCCTCTGATACCTTTGAGCCTGTTGGCTGTTTTAGTGTCATAGAGATTAAAAATTTGACAAGTTGTTTTCCATGTCTGGTTCCCAAGTACCACCTGGAGCACCGGTGGAGGGAGGGCTGGGCTGCCTGTGCAGGCAGGAGCTCCTGCAGCAGGTGCTTGGCAGGATGGACACGGGAGCAGATCCTGGGGACATGTCCCCTCCTGTGTCACCAGGAGTGGCACATCCTCCTCTGTGTCACCAGGGGTGGCTGCAGCCCCTGTCCATCCCACCATGTCTCTGCCACTCACCTGTGAGGCTGTGCAGCAGCTGATGCTGCTTGAGGTGCTCACATGTGCCCAGTGCTGTGAAGACACAATGGCCCTTTTCTTAAGGAATTTACAGTCTAAATTAGAAAGGAATAAGGTAGAAAAAGAAAGTTGTTGGCCTCTTCCTGCATGTGTCTTTCCTTGAGTTGTTGAAGCATGCTTTAGGTTATTTCCCATCTCTTTTTCCTCTTCCAGAAGTGGGGTGGTGGTGTATGTACAGCAGCTGAGCCTTACCCTTAGTGGACTGGTGTCTTAAATTTAGAAATAACAAGAAAGCAGCTAAATTCTATTTACCATCGTCTCTGTTCTTGAAAATAGCATTTTTTTAAAATCAAGATGAAATACTCTAAACAGAGACAGGACATGAAGGCCATGTAAATAACCTCTTCAAAAAGAAATGCTCTTAGTTTTATTTAAAAGTGTTAATGTGAACTGTGAAGCTTTAATTGCTTTAATGAAATAAGATTCCCTACCTCCTAGTGTTAGGATTTGTGTTGTTATTTTAGTGCTGAGTTGAGACAATATTACCTACACTGACTTCCCTCCCCAACCCGTGAACACTGAAGTTGCTGTTGGTAATCTGGCAGTTTATCAGTCACATTGTCAGGATTTGAACTTTACAAAAATGTATCCCATTCAGCAAGTGCAAACTAAGGCCACAGCCACCAGCCACATGGTGATATAGCTTCTGTCCCCTTTTCTACCTTGCCCCCTTGGGACAGACAAAACATGAAATAGAAGAAGAATCCACATAGATTTGATTTATGTACTGTAAGAAAACATACTAAAGGCAATTTTAATTGAAGGGTTTTGAAATATTTCACAACTGTAGCACCTAAAACTCTTCTTTCAAAGAGAAAGAAGATTGTGTATCATTAGTATACAAATGTCAATTGTATGTTCTCTAAATAAGCCAGTAATTCACTGACACTGAAAAAAAAAATTCATCACTTCTTGAAACCTTCTTTGTGATTCACAATGAAACAGTATCTTGGACTTTTATAGAAGCCTGTGAACTTCTGAAGGTATCTCTGTCTTGGCAACAGAAACCTGAGAATGCTTGCTACTTTTATGTTAATTACCATATTTTATCATAACTTTTTAGTTTCATTTAGTGCTCATAATTTTTAAAAAATATATATAGCATTAAATGTTTTAACAAACAACAAACAGTCAAAGAGATAGTGTGAGAAATATTCTGTAAATGCTGATATTGACATACTGAATTCCAAGCTATTTAGAAACTGTCTGTATGAAGGCCTTATTTCAACATAGAAATTAGGAAATCCTAATCCTTAAAGGCTTTTAGGTATCTGAATGTAGATATGTACCTACTTGAGCACTTTGGAATGCTGCTTCTAGGTGTTTGTTGATCACTAACCCCAAGTGTTGCTGTTGCTTTTCTCCCTATCCCCATTACATTAAGTTTTATAGTCGGCATCACTGGATGAAGCTCCTGTCCTGAACAGGACTTTATTTTGCATTCCTCATCTATTCCCTGCTTCCATAGGTACCAGCTATTGAAGTATTGGGCCACTTGCTTTGATTTTAATGAATTTCTTTTTCCATGTAGCCTGTACAGAGAGATTACCTTGTTAGAACTGTTCTTCCACTACAAAAATGTTCACTTTTATTAATTTTTTACCACTAGACTCCATTTAAGCAATCCTGTCACTAGAGGGTCCTCTAACAAATTACCAAGAGTTCAAGTCAGTTTGAATCATGAATGAGAGGGTTTAGCCATTGCATCTATTTGTGCTTTTAGCTTCCAGTGGTATGAGGGCACAGCCCCACTTTTCAGTGAGGGGAATGAGCTGGTTGGGCTGCTGGGAGCCCCTGGGTGGCTGTCACTGCAGGCTGGCTCCTCTTGTGGGCCTGCTCTGCAGCTCATCTACTGTGGGATGTACAGAGAGACCTCAGCTCTCACTGCCTCCCTCAGTGGGAGGTGGACACACTTTGTGTCAGCTCTTGTTTTCTCATCAGGGTCAGGCTTTATGAGGTGCTGAGGTGAGGCTCTTCCCCTGTTCTCTGGAATTTTGTATTTCATGTGTGTGAGTATATTTTGGGTCCTCTCTCCCCATGTGAATTGACCATTCAGAGAAGTGGCACGATGGTGATACTTGTGCAGTGGATTCAGTGGGTGTGTTTAAATGCTTAAGAAGAAAATTAGCCCGTGCACGATTTCCCTTTTCCCCCATAACCGTGAGTTTATTCCAGTTTGGACCAAAATTATTAAGAGTCACAAAATCTTAGTGAGTACTTTCTCCTCCTTGGCTTTGTATAACAAAAAAAATTCAGTCACTTTTACTTTCTTAAACGTAAGTTCCAAAGTATTTTTGCCTTATTTGGTGTGATTTCTGTTGCTTTAAAGAGAAGTGGATAGAAAAAGAAGATACATTTGGGTCATGAGAAATCTTGGTGTGTGTGTATGAAACACATGTACACAAAAAAGGTTCATTTCCTTTCCTGTGGGGTTTGGGACCCAACTGCATACCATCTAAACAGAAATCACATGTTGCTCTTGTCTTTAAAAATTAAAAATTTTGTCTTTTAAATTCCCAGTGAGGAGACTGAGGATATTCTCAGGGTGCTGCTGGCACCCTGATCCCTGTCACATGGAATTGGCTTCAAGTGTGCTTGGATGGCATGACCATAAAACCACAATTCTTAGCTGTTGGTGCTGCTGCCTGGGCTGTGATGATGGCAGCAGGTACCTTCACTGTGCACATTCAGGTTTGTCACTGCAGTGTTACTGGTTAATATCACAGTTTACAAAAATAATTAAAAATGACGCACAATCCATAAACCGTGTGAGGGTGGGAGGTGCTGAATGGAACTGGTGGTTCCCTCTTGGTCTGATTTGTGCTTTAGGTTTTGTAAACTCCACAGTCTTGAGCAACTGACTTTTCTTTCACATGGATGTATCTGACCAAGGTATAACACAGCTGAAAAATTGTGCTTTGAGTGTTATTTCAATCACAACAGTTTTTGGTGTAGATACCTTCTCCCCACCAAACCCTTCCTGGTTCATTTTAGGTCATCCAGAATTATGATTTATAATGTTCTCTGTTGTGGGTATTTTGTTGTGTTACAAAAAAAATTGAAAATATCTGTTGCCTTAGCTAGGCTGATTTTTTTTGTTTTGTGGAAAGCAGTGGTAATATGTTTTTTTTTCCTTTGTTTGAAATGTTACACTGAATGTTTTGTAGGAAACTTTTTTTTTACTGTGTTTTCAATAAAGGTAAAGTGTGATTTATAGCAGAGTTTTGTGTCTTTTTTTGTTAAAAGCAATGAAAAAAGAAGAATCTGTCATTCGAAATTATCCTGTCAGTACTTGGTATGAATAATTCCTCTCTTCTTCCTCCTCCCAATTTAACCTGCTTTTGAGATTCTCAAATTGGTTGCATTTCTAAAATAGCTGAGGTAGGGAAAGTGATGGAGATTGCTCTACATTCAGAGGCATCATCGCCCTGTGTTTTAAGACAGGTGTGCAATTATTTTGAACTCTCTGCTTTAGGCCAGTGGGGATTGTTTATAGCTAAGTATGCTCATTATGTAATTTGTAAGTAATTTTCAATTGCTTAATGGCTTGACTGAAGGGCAATTTTTGCATCTTAAACCCCTGACCACCATGCTTCCTAAACTGTCTGTAACTTAAACAGCTTCAGACTTTAAATTCCATTTCACAGGAGAGTTTAGGCAGTTTTTAAAGTTCAAGAATCACGTGGCTGGAAGGGACCTGGAGATGTTTGATCCATCCAGCTGCACAGGATCATAGCTGTGTTATTCTTGGTATTTAACCAGCCTGGCAGGGGCTGTCTGTGATGGGATTGCTGTGCTGTCTCTAGGCAGTATATTCCAGTGTTTGATTGTCCAAGATTTCAGAAATGTCAAATGTGAAGGGCCCTTGTCATGCTTTAAGCTTTAATTTTATTCTCAAACATCCATAGTGAAACAAACCTTTCTGCTTGCGCCAGCTTTTTCCACACCTGAAAGGTTACATTTCCCTTTATTTCCTATATGAGAAGTGACCCACAATTCCCTCAATGGTTTTATGGAAGTGTCTTATCATACTTTTTGCTATCTGTGGGTATGCTTATGTATTTCTGGAAATGCAGAGCTCAAGTGGACACAGAAACCTCCAAGCCTGAGCTCTGGCACTACATCATGTCTTCAGTACTTCTTTATATTTTTTTGTCATTGATCAGTTTGGGTTGGTTTTTGTGACAGACAGTGGAGAAGAGGCATCTCAGGGGTTGTCCTCAGTATAGATTTTTATACCTTCTTACTGTCTTGAGTATGTTTCTGAATGTTGCATAAAGGCCTTCATATCTGAAGATGCTCCCACAGGTGCTCAACAAAATAAATGTCTAAAAGGATTGCTTTTCTTGAATTTAATCATTCTGAGTGCAATCCTAGCTCACTGTGTCCACTTCCTCCTAATGTACTCCTGTATCTGAAAGCTCTGCAGGGACTCACACAAGCCTTAGGCTTGTCTGTGTGCAGTAGTTTTAAGAGGCATTTTGACATCTGTATCATGACCAGGCAATGTGAGCCTTTCTCTTCATTTCCTGTGAGAGAAAACTGATAGGAAAAGAAGCCATTTCTTCAGGGAGTGTGGATTGGGAAGTGGGAGGTGAGGTGGCAGAAGGGTTGAGCTCAAGGTCAGACAGCCTCATGGCACCTGAACACTTTCCTATTGTTTCATTTAACTTTTTTTTTTCTTTTGGTACATTTTCTCTACCAGTACATTTGCTCCCTTCCAGCTGCAAAAGTGACCCTTCATAGCATAGATCAGAGTAGCTAAAATGAAATTCTCTAGACCCAAACAAACCAAGAGCACAGATCTCACAAGAATCCCTCAAATTATGTGGAAAACTCACTAAGAATTTATATAAGCTTTGAACTTCCTAAATTTTCTGCTAGCATGACCTCATATTCTTTTTATTCTGTGGTCTGATTCAGTGCTGAGAACTGCTACGATTCACTGTGTTCCCAAATGATCCCTAACACAACAGGATATTGAAAGGATGTATCCATTTGTCAGTAGAATTGGATTAATTTCCTTTTTAGTAAATGTTGATCTAGCAATGTAACATAAAAGAAGTTCCCTAAGAGCCTTTGTATTGTGGATGTATTTCAATTCCCAAGTGATGGGAAAAGCAGCAGCCCCTCCTGTACTCTGTGAGAGAATTCTGTGTAGCAAAGAGCAGGTGGGGAACCTGGTGCTTCCCCTCACAACTGCTCAGTGTAAAGAAAGAAACATCCCGGTCTCTCCCACCCAGACATTCACACTGACCTTCAGTGGTATGTGTAAAACAAAAAACACAAGCAACAGTCCCACCACAGGCCTCCTCTAATATTTACACTTTGTGATCTCCAAACAGTCCCTAGCGGTGCCTCTCTGAATGACTCGTGAAACACTGCTTATATCTTTAATATTTTAATGTGATTATGTATTTAATCAATAAAACCCCTGGTAAGTTTTACCTGACTGTTGTTTGCTGGGTTCTAGAACTGAATCACTGCATTGCAATTTTAAATGCCCTTACTGATTTCATATTAAAATCTGGCTTCAGGAAGAACAAGGTAAGATTACACCAAACTCTTATGTAATTTGGTGTTTCTGATCACAATCAAGTAAAGGTTGATCCATTTGAAAACACTTCTGGCCCTGAATTATGCTTGGTCTTCATTTGCAGTGGTGTCAGACCTGACCTGTAAAAAAAAAATAAGAGGAAAAATCTTTTCCTGCATGAGACAGGGATCTATGAAGTTCCTCTGCTGCTAAGATACTATGTTCTTTGAGGTACTCCTGGATTTTCTGTAGTATTACCTGACCCAACTCCTATCCATCAAGCAGTAAATAAAGTCTAAGGTTGGGAAGAAAAAGAAATGTAACTGAAATTTAATCCAGAATTTTACCTGGCAAGTCAGCATGAACTATCAGCATGAATGGAAAGGAAGTCAGCATTTTTAATAATTTGTTATTGTCACGTTCTAGGATGTAAAAATGAAATTCTACCCTGTTTTAATACATATTACTGAATAATTTTTTTTATCCTAGAATAACAAACAGAGCAATTGAATTTATTTCTGAAAACACCATACCCTGTACATTTTAGGTCTGAGACTTCCTAAAGCTTGGACAGAGTGGCATAAAGTGACTGTGAAATCCCCCATCGGTATGCAAAGCTGCATCAGTCATCTGTACAGCAGCACAAGACTATGATAAAATGAAACGATGAAACAAAGCGCCGAGCTGAACTTTGTCCACGGGGAAGCCTTTTTAAGTGATCCAATGTCAGCAAATTGCTTACTAATGTGTTGACTTATGGCAACCCTCAAAAGTAAAATGAAAAGGCTGGAATTTACAGCGTATCAATGAATCAGTTGATAAGCTTTTACTGGTTTAATATCCTCCTAGTTTTGCTGCTTGGAGCCACTTCAGGTTAGCAACAGAATGTTTACCATCTCTGTGTGATAAAGGAAGTCAAACGACTAAACAAATTCCAAGACCATTATATTGTTTGGTGAGATTTAAATTAAAATCGTTGGGAGAAATCATGTGGAGGGGGGAGGAAGAAGCTAAAGTCAACTGCATCATTTCACAGTGACCTACCTCGCTTCCTAAACAATGGCAGGGTTTTAGCAGAGCTGGAGATAATGTAATGCATTAGAAAAGATTTAATTGCACTAATAAAAGGCTATACCACAATTAAATGACATAAAGAGTGACATTTATAGGTGGGATCAAAGAAATTCACTACCTAACATGCTGAAGCAACACTGCTCTCTGTGTATATGAGTGCTAAAAAGTAGCCTACTTTGGTTTCAGTGACCTTTCTTATCTCCTTTGATCTAGATTATTAAAAATTTTAATGTCAGGTATAATAAGGGCTACTGTAGCATCCTGAAACAAGCAATATGTGTCCTTCCTAGCACTAATATTTCAGACCTTGTTTTTTATTTTGTGATATTTATTTAAGCATATGAAACTTGACATTTAACCTTTGTGATTCTTCCAGAGGCAGCAGGGTTATTAAAAAAATAGTTTTTTGGGTTTTTTTTAAGCTATTGTGATGCCATTTGATTATGCTAATGTTTAGGGAGTGACCTTTTAATACCACAGTTCAATTTTGAGAAGCAAATTTTATTTTAGAAAAGCTTTTTAGTGTCTGGAAATGGATAGCTCCTTGTGAAAACTCTCTAATGTTTTTGTTAACCAACACTTAAAAGTGTCAGAGCAAACAGCAGGAAAACTCATCTACAGTTCCCACTTGAAAGCCACTAAGAAAAATAAGTGGAGGTCCTTTAATCACAGCTTGCACTGAATTTATTCAAATCTGTCTCATTGTTATGAGAAGACTTTATAAATTTATTCTTAATGGAAGGTGGAGAAGCGGTGCCCGTTTTGTTCCCTGTAAAATCCTGAAGTGTAACCTGTGAGAATGAGTTCCTGGTGCTGGGGCCTCTCTCTGGACACTGGAGGTTGGATGAAAACCTCCCCTGGATTTTAAAACTGTGGGCTGAAATGTGGGCAGCTGGGTACCAAAGACACAGACCCCAAAGCTGGCCCAGGGGAGGCAGCTTGGAGGGTTCCTGCTGTAGCCACTGGAGGTTCAGTGTGAGAAATTTTGACCAATGACATTCAGCTGCAGCTTTCAGCATATTTAGGAGCCTTTTTCAACCTCCTGTTGCTGACACCTTATTTCATGGCTTAGCACAGCCTCTTGGGCCCATGGGAAACTGGCAGCCTTCTGGGGAAACAGGCCTACATCTGCTGCCCCAGCTTTCAAACAGCAGGAAAATCAAGGTGTTGCTGTTGTCTGTTCCAGTCATGCTTCTTGAGGAGTGTCACAACCTGCTGACAGGTTAATTTATTCCAAACTTAAGGGCTTGAGCACTTCTAGTGTAACATCAGCATTTTTCAGTCACCTTCATATTCTTTTTCTGTGCTACAGGGAAGGATTTTTCATCGGTTCTAAAGAGGATGGAATGAACAGACTGACAAAACCGCTGAGTGTCTCCAGTGCTGCCTCTTTGGTATGAATAAGAAGGAATAAGTGAAAAGGGAGCTGATATTTAGGCATTCTGGTTTAAGGAAGCTGAATTGCCCCAAGGAAACAGACCAAGGAAGCAAACACAAAATAATTTTCTGTCAAATAATTGCTTTCTTAATTTCCTACCCTTACGAGCTGCTGCTTCTCTCAAGTCTTTATGCTCTTTTCTAGCAATATATCCCTTCCAGGAGGC